GAACGTGGTCAGGTGACGGCCCGTCCGTGTACACGTGCAGGTCGACACACGCTGACCCCCAGGAGTGGTGGTAGTGACCATCGCATCCTGGAGGGCAGCGGTACTCACCAAGTTCGTAGAGAATGAGGGGAGGTGAAGACCTGAGAGTGAGCCGGACGGAACGACCGGACACGGGAGAACAGTGGAGGAACGTGCAAGAACTGGGCCCCCTGAGGGGTCAGCCAGTCTGATTGGAACAGGTGCAGGGAGTGGAGTGAGTGTGGTACTGTCGCGGAAGAAATAGCAGGAAGCACCTGAGTCAAGCGTGAAGGTGTGCAAGGCCTCAGAAGGCGCAGTACCAGGGAGAGCAGACTCACTAGCACCTAGAGCAGCAGCCTCTATACCTGGGTCGGGCGGCACACACAGGTAACAGTCACCCTCAGCACTAACAAACAAGGCATACATGGCAGCTAGGATAGCATCATAGTCAAGAGCAAAGATATCAACACCAGACCTAAGCAGCTCTAGCCAGCGGGGGCGCTCAGCCTCGTCGCCAAACTCTGCGCGCCAAGCGTCGTCAAGCCGGGAGAAGCAGCGGTGTTGTGTGTGAAACTTCCCGCATGTCTGACCAGCGCGGTCACCTGTGTGAATTACATACGGGCAGCGAACACTACCCCCAGATGCCCCGCGCTGAGCAAACCACTCACGAAGCTGCTGGGGCGTAGGGGTCTCGCTTGGACGCTGCTGCTGCTGCCTCTCGCCACCGCCAGAACCTCCCCTCTAAACAGCTCCTCCCCAACCGCCACCACTGTCGCCGCCACCACTCCCACTGCCGCCACCACCGCCACCACCACTCCCACTGCTGCCACCACCGCCGCCACCGAAGCCCCCACTCTCGCCACCACTCCCACCGCCACCTCCGCCACCTCAACCGCCTCCACTGCCTCCACCACCACCACCCCCGCTGCCACCTCCACCACTCTTGCCTCCCTTGCCCTTGTCGCTGCGGCGCTTCCCACTAAGAGCAGAAGCAGCCCCGACGTCCTCAGTACCAAGGATGTCAGCAGCAGCAGCAGAAGCGTAGGAGGGGGCAAGGGGGGAGGGGGAACACCCCTTAAAGAAGGGTGTGCGAGGAGTGCCACGAGCAGCACCTACAGCGACTATGCTAGTCTCAGCTGCAAGGAGGTGCTTCTCGAGCAGGTCGTCAGTGAGGTCTGTGGGGTCTAGTGCAAGAAATTGGTCCCTGAGTGCGCGAAGAGAGTCATGGAGGCGGGTGACTATGAAGTAGAGAGTGATGTACATCAGGGGCGGGTTCTTGTCTAGGAACTCGGCTGGGAGGGCAGCGCGGTAGCGAGTGTCGCTAGTGCGAAGGTGGGTGATGAGGACCTCGACTGTGGCAAAGGCTGACAGCTCGGGAAAAAGGTAGGGTAGTATAAGGCAGTCGAGAGCAGCAGTGGCAGGGGAAGAGTAACGAGCGACTACAGCGTCGTACAGGGCTTTAGCTGTCTTGTGCTGGCCAAAGTGAGTGCGTTCGGCTAACGGCAGGTGATTGCGAACGGCTAAGCTAGCAGCAGTGTCACAGGTAAGCCACTGTGAGCGAGTCGCACTGTTAGCTGTGTCGGGAGGGGCGAGAGATGCTCCAGACGTGTGGTCATAAGTACGGCGCACGACTCTCCACGTTGTAGCCCAGCATGTGGATGCTCATGAGTTCCGTCAGACGCGCGTCGCTGAGAGTCGTGCGCTGCCAGCTCTTGATGATGTTTTGGCGCGAAAAGCCACGTTCACACTCGACGGTGCTTATTGGCATGACGGCCAACGCCCGCCACATGGTCACAATGTTGGGGTAAATGCGTTGCCAGTTGCGAGTCTCGAGCATGTTGGTGAGCCCCTGGAAGAAGTCCTCGTCCTCGTGGTGGTTCTTCAGTTTGTGACAGAAAGTTTTCAGCTCCAGTTCGGCTGCCCGCAAATCGAAACCTGCCACATCAGTGGGCACGAATGTGCATGTATATCATGCGAAATTGGATTTGTGGCAACGACTAGAATAAACAATTGTAAAAATCAAACTTCGAATGTCTTTCGTAACACCTGGAAAAACAAATTTGCAGTGTCTTACATACCTCGCAGTTGGTTGTTGAACAGAACAGCGTTCTCCCCAAGCCAGCTGGCACATCGTCGCGCACGTGTTTCCTGGTTTGGTGGCCACTTCTCGACTTTGAACAGCTTCGTGCCGCCCAGCCGCCACAGATCTCACATGCGGTGCGTCAGATTGTACACGACCTCCTGGGAGAATGCCTTGCACAGCTTCACGCAATCTGCCACGGTGCCGCCGTACTTGTGCCCCAGGATGCGCACTGTCAAACTCAATTGTGTCAGCTGTGTCAGCTGGCAGCGCACGACTCTCAGCGACGCGCGTCTGACCGAACTCATGAGCATCCACATGATGGACTACAACGTGGAGTGGCCAGATGTCGTGGACATCTGGCGGAAGCAGAAAAAGCGTCGCCCTGCAAAATCACCTGCGCCATTCCGACCTGCAACCAACAGGGGGAAAGAAAAAGTTGAATCTGACTCAGAGAATGAACCTGAGGCTGCATGGAGCAAGTTACCTCGGAGGGGTGAGAGGTTTAGTCTGTGCTATGTACCTCTCAAAGCTAATATACATTGAATAATTCTATCTCGTTTCGTTACAACACCCTTCAATTAAACACCGTGGGAGCCCAGAACTACATTAACACAATATTTCATGAAACATCAGAGTTGACACCAAAACTACACTGACACATCAGTGTTTTTACTTCAAAAACTAAGTTTACTCCGACAAATCAGAGAAACGACACGAAACCACTCTGAATTTCAGAGTCTCGTGAAAAACCACCCTGGAAACCAGTGTGCTCGAAATCCAAAAAAAAATCCAGCACAGCATGCATTCACCTCATCATATCAGTGTTGTGAGCTGGCATACACTTCGTCAGACGATGTCAGCATCTCAGCTCACAACTCACATCTTAGATGTTCTGCAGCCCAACTGGACTCGCGCTGCAGACGCTACCAGGAAAGCACCCGAACATCCCAGCGCAAATCGGTCGTCGGAACCGATTTGCCGGTGTCGTCGAGAGGGGTCGTCGGAGCCGGGCCCGACGAGGCGGGCAACTGACGCGCGTGCGGGCCCGCCAGCCTGGCCCAGGGCCGGGCCGAGCGCACGACCGCCGCCCCGCAACCCCCCTGCGTGATTGAACAGCGCCCCACGTTACCGGGTGGGGGCGGCGAGCTGGCGAGCCCTCGCGCGAGGGAAAGTAACCCTCGCGCGAAGGCAGCCCTCCCGTGCCCGCTGCCCGTGACGTCCTAGTGACCCTCGCGACCTGCCCGGACGGGCAGGCGAGGGCCATGCGAAATTCGGGTGCTCCCCTCGGGAAGCTCGACGATTTTGCGACCCGTTGCGGTGACGCCGCGTGCTCGCACGCGGGTTCGCATCGGGTGCATGCGAAATTTCGAGCCCGGCGAAATCGGTTCGCTCGCATCGCGGCGCGGGGTTTTCGCGATCCGGGGCGAAGTCGACACGTGTCGGTCGAAACGACGCACCGCGCGTCCCCTCGCCGAGCGAAGCCGGGGGACGCGAAGTCGACGTGCTGGCTCGGCGGCGAAGGAGCGCTTGTGCATGCAGCCCGCCAAACCCTGCCGAGCTAGGCACCACGAACCCTGGGCGATGCCTCAACCGGCCTGTGGGGCACCGACTCCCTTTCCTTGGCGGAAGGAGGCATCGCTCCTCATTTTCGGCATCTCGTTTCACTTTCAACATTACTCCCACACTCTCGTCCCTTCTTAGCCTGCAGTCAATTCCCTTCAACACAATGGAGGCCGACCCGAAAGCCGGCGAAGCGGCGCCGACCGTGCAGGACTTCCCTCTGTATCTCGACCTCGGTAGTGGACTCACTGCCAAGCTCGAGGAACACGACTACGCCGTCCTCGTAGACCATAGGCTAGAGTTCAACGCCCGTTGCTTGGGATTCGGCATCAAGTGAGTCTGCGTATGTGGATGTCGGCGTCGACATCTTCTTACATTGCTGGTCGACGCAGCGTCGGTGTTAGGGTTGTCCCACGTCGGAGGCGGCGCTACGAGTTCACGTCGACGCCGACAGTAGGTCGGTGTCGGCACAGGCATTAGGCACGCATCGGTCGGCTCAATTGATTACAACGTCGCGAGGGTGGTGCACCGTCGTACGATTGCCATCCCCGTCGGTCGGCGGTTCCTAAACCGACGTATCCACCGTCGTGTCGTGCACATACTCACTCACTTCTTATTTCCATGTATGCGTGCAGGCACGCATGGACTCGCGCGGCGCCGGCCAACATGCGATTGTGGTCGATAGGACTCGGCCGGCTTCGGGCGGCGATGGGTCGGGCGGACCACACATGCTTTGCGACGGTTTTCGACGCCGACGTAGCGGTTATCCCCTTGACTTCGAGGTGAGCTGGTTAGAAGTCGTCACGATGTGTGTTGCATCCTATGTCGGTGCTCTGTTCTGAACGACGTCGTCGTGCCTTGCCTGTGCAGCATCGCACCGCTTCCAGGAGCACATTGCAGCATCGTTGTCATCGTGTACCCCGGCGACCTGTTGAAGGGTGGGGGGGAGAAGATCAGGATCTCGATCCGGCACTTTGACCCGCAGACCGTGAAGCAGTGGCACCGCGACGAGGCGATCCGCGTGCTGAAGTGAGCTCGATAGTGTAGTCGACGACGCATGCAATTTCGCCGCGCAGCGTAAACCATGCTTACCGACAATCTGTGCCATGTTGCTTCAGGTTTTTTCCGGGCGGCGGTCCTGGCCGAGCTTGGGTGCGATGGTCGGAAGTGGGAGTGGGCGAAGCCTTCCGATGAAGAGGTGGAGGACAGGCTCGCCGACTGCGATCAACCCGTTCGAGATGTGAGTTCCGAACGAATCAACCCTAAACCCTATAGTGTGTCATCCTTGCGCGATGCGATTGCCGAACGCGGTGCTCATCATTGCGCTCTGAACTGTTGTATGCAGAAAGTGCCCGACGCCGTCCGGGACGGGGACGCGGGCTCCGGCCTGCTAGCAATGAGCGCGTTGTGCTGGGTGGTGAGGAGGATGGATCTCCTGACCGGCGCCCTCTGTCGCAGTGTGACCAGCATGGACAAGGTCAACGTTTCGGGGTTGAAGGGGCTGCGGAATGGGATGATAACCTTCGTCAAGGAGCACGTCGCTCTCAAACAGTCGGGCCATGTCGGAGTTGCTGCCGACGCCTGTGACGACGACGGCGAGGAGGCCCCTTTGGCATCCACAGCAATAGGTGTCGCCTACACCGTCGATGATGCGCGTGGGACTTCGATCGGAGAGCCCAGAGGCGGCGTCGACAAGGAAGATGAGGAGGTGGGAAGGGCGGTGACTGGGACCGCGGAGAAGAACCAGGAGGATAACGAGGATCAGGAAGAGGACCATGAGGATCGTGAGGAGGAGGAGGAGGAGGAGGAGGAGGAGGACGAGGAGGACGAGGAGGACGAGGAGGAGGAGGAGGAGGAGGAGGAGGAGGAGGAGGAGGAGGAGGAGGAGGAGGAGGAGGAGGAGGCGGAGGAGGCGGAGAAGCAGCAAGAGGGGGAGCAGGAGGAAGAGGTCGAGTGGGAGTTGGAGGAAATGGAGGTGGAGTACGTAGAGGGAGCGGCGGAAACGGCTGGGAGGTCGGCAGATGTTGTGAACAAGGGAGGGGAAGATGCCGACGAGGAGAAAGTCGGCGTGGAGGAGGCTCACGGGGGGGGTGAGAAGGTCGTGGTCGGCGATGTGGATGGCGACGCGAAGGAAGTTATCGACCTCGAGGTCGTTGGAGAAGGGGATAACGCCGCGGCCACGAAGCCGACGGGCGTGGAAGCGCCTACCGAGACCACCGCAGGGAAGGCCGGGGGGGAGCGGTCTAGGGTGAAGAAGGCGGCGCGCGGTCATCCCGGTTCCTCCGCATCTGGTCGGCAGGCACCGCTGGACGTCGTCGAGCAGCTGCGACAGGAGAACATGCGATTGACGGCAGAAAATGCCCGTATGGAGAAGGCGCTCGAAGATGAAAGGGGTCGGGTGGACAGGTTTGTGTTGGGGATGCGGGGACTCCTCGACAAGCTCCAGTCGTTGGCCAACCAGGTCGCCGTCTCCGACCATAATGCGGCGAAACGGCTGCTAGATGCGACGTCGGCCGTGTCGACAACCATCACGGACAACATCACCAACCACATGGACGATCCGTGGAAGGCGATGAAGTCCTTCGCCGAAAAGGCGTCGACGTGGTTGGCGGAAATCGACGGTCCGGAGGGAAGTATGGCAGTTGAACGCGCAAAAGCGGTCGCCGCCTTGGGCAACCACGTGGAAGCGGTGGTGGACGATGCGAAGCTGGGTTTGGAGGACTTCATCTCGAAGCACCTAGCCGCCGCGCAGGCCAACATTGCCGCCGCGGTAACTCGCACCATCGCCGTGCCGCCGCCGCCCCCGCAGCAGCCCACGCCAGCCTTCCCGGACGAGCTCATGAAGTCGTTCAAGGCGGACGTGTTGAAGGCGGTGACGGAGGCCACCCAGCAGTCGTTTGTTGCGTCCGGGTTAAAGCTCATGACCGAGGTGATCGGCAATGTGGCGGCTGGTCGGCGTGCGTCGTCGCCGTCGGCCAATGACGCCGATCCCGCGCAACGAAGGGAGGCCGACAAGCAGGGCCGGAAAAGGGCGGGCGGCGGAGATGATGCAGGGAGCGTGAAGCGGAGCAAGGGAGCCGATGGAGGCCGCGGCGTCGGCGCGGTGGGTCCAGGCGGCTCGCGGACTCGAGGTCAGAGCGTGGTCGACCAGCTCAAGAAGAACGGGGCCAATGTGATAAGGTCGCACAGCAAGGGCGATGGAATCGGGAGTGCAGATGGGGGCCATGCCGACGAGGTTGCCGCACAAGACGGCGGGAAAGGCTTGAGCGACAAGGAGATCCCAACCGCTCAAACGGCGATAGATGGCGGCGCCAGAACCGTCAAGGGACCGTCTGTCGGGGTCGCGGGGACCACGTCGATTCCCCGAAAACCCCCTGCGACTAGCAGCGCGCCGGTCGGCCCGTCAGCCGCCAACAACGATGGGCCGGCCCTTGTGGCTACTCCAGCTGCAGTGGGCCCGTCTGCCGCCAAGGGCGACGCGAAGGATGCTGCGGCTAACCGCGACGGTCCGTCCGCCTCTAAGGTGCCCGCAGCGGCGAACGCGCTCAGGGAAATGCTCCACCGCATGGAGGCCCATCGCAAGGACGTGCAGTAGCCTCCCTTGGTCGATGCCGCCCCCGCCGAAGCAGCACGCCGCACGGTCACTCCGCAGGTCGCCGCCACAACGCCCAGTGCCCCACATACCGCGCCTCTGGTCGCCGCCCATCCAACTGCGGACCCAAAGTCCGCATTGCTTCGCGCTCGGTTAGGCGCACGTAGTGCGGCAGCGCCAGCACAGACTCGGCCGGAAGCCGGCTCAAGCGCGACGCCGACGTCGGTAAACGAGGCGGCGGAGAAGGGCGTGAGGGCAGCGCTAGCCACCGGCGGCGGAGCCGTTGACCATGCACAAGCGTCGATAGGCCACAACGACGCCGACATCGCTGCCATCCAGAACCTGTTGGAATCGGTAAAACGCCCCGGGCACCCCGCTGCTCTGGCCATCTCGGACACGGCGCATGTGGAGCCCTTGGCGAATCCCCCCGCTGGTTCAGCGGAGCCAAAGACGACCACTGATGCTGTCGGCGATGGAGAGTCGAAACGGAAGGGGAAGGCCGACACAGTGAAAGGGAGGGCGAGCTCTCAGAGGAAAACACGGGCGATGTCGGCCGAGACAGGGAGGGATAAGGCGAAGGAGAAGTCGGTGGAGAAAGGGAAGGAGAAGGCGGAGGAGAAGGAGAAGGAGAAGGAGAAGGAGAAGGCGGCGGAGAAGGAGAAGGAGAAGGCGGCGGAGAAGGAGAAGGAGAAGGAGAAGGCGGCGGAGAAGGAGAAGGAGATGGCGGCGGAGAAGGAGAAGGAGAAGGAGAAGGAGAAGGAGAAGGAGAAGGAGAAGGAGGAGAAGGAGAAGGAGAAGGGACGGAAGGGTCATGGCATCCGCCACGACAACTCGGGCGACGGTCTTGGGTGGGTGGGCGAGATTAAGGTGCTCGGCGCTAATCGATACATCGGCAAATCGCGCGAGAAGATGGAGCTGGCGTACTTGCACTCGATTGCGTACATCGTCTACGATGGCTACGTCAGCAAGGTCCTCATGGCCGAGCTCACCGGCTTGGAGGAAACCGAGTTGGAGAAGTGGAGGATGGTGTGGGAGGAGGTCAAGATTTTGCCGACAGGGATGTGGACGGTGATATGGGCACGGGGCGCGTACCTTCCAAAAACACGGTAAGTCGGATACCCTTTCGGCCGAGTGTTGATGACGATGTCGGAGTCACTAATGGTCGCTCGGTTTCATGTGATTGTGTGACAGGTTCGATGACATTCTCGGCCAGTATCGAGCGTACAAGAGCTCAGGCGATGCGCACCACGACGCGCTCTTGCCGACGATCTGGTTCCCCGTCGATGCCGTCACAAAGGAAGGCCAGGAGAAGTCGGGTGCTATGATGTCGGCCATGATAGGTCGCGTGTCCATGTGCGCTGCGTATGGGAAGGTCGCTGCTAGCGCGGCGAGGAAGGAGGGAGACACTGATGAGAAGACGGTGATTGCGGCACAGGCGTTATCGGCCTCCGCTTGCGCCGAGTGGTGCTTAGTCGAGAACGACGACGCCCAGGTGGTCGATGCTGTGGGCGAAGGGAAGGCGGCGGCGATGGTGGTCGGTGCGAGCGAGAAGACCGCCGGTGTCTTCAAGGAGGTCATGCAGGCGGTGCTGGAGGCCGAGATCGACCGGGAGCAACCCCTGGGGGAGGTTGCGCACAACGTCGCGCCGGCGCTGCAGAGTCTCGCTCTGCACCGGGTCTACCCGGGGGTGGATCATGAAGTCGAAGCCGACGTGATTGCTAGAGCGACAGTGGAGACATTGGCGTTCTGGGGAATGTGCCCCGTCGCCGGGCCGAAACTCGAAAAGATCGGCATCGCGGTGCCGTGTGACGCGCAGATGGAGTACGACATTGAACACAGGGGGAGGAAGGGGCAGAGAGGCAAGCAGGGCAAGGACAGCACGGGGAAGAAGGGGAAGAAGGGCAAGAAGGGCAAGGACAGCACGGCGGCGTAGTCGGCGCGCGGAGGGAGCGCGAGGTGGTTTGATTGCTAGTGTGTTTGTAACCATTTTAGTGTTTGTAACTTTTTGTTTGTGTTTGCTTATGTGGTAGCGCATGTAACTTTTTGGTAGTGCATGACATGTAGAACCCTCGTCGGAGATGTCGACCTGATCGCTACCCTCTGAATTGCACACTCAAATGCTACTCGGGGATGAATTTTTGTCGGCGTCTATGTCGGAGTCCGAAAATACGTCGGCGTCGTTGGATGTCTGTCGACATAGAGGGTTTGGCTGTCTGCAAGTATTTTCGGGGTGTTTGTTGGTCGGCGACCGACTGCAGTTACCATTGTTGGATCATCTATGTTCGCATGGGCATTGTTGTATGACCATCGTTTACCAACTTCATGAACAAAATAAGCATCATGGTTTGGTGCAATCGACCACAATTACAGCATCGCTCAAACTACGCGCACGCATATGCTCCGAAGGTACTCATGCCGCCTTCTTGCGCTTCGTCGGAGGACGCAGCACAGGTGCGGTCTGCCGCTCCATGTCCGCCACGGTCTTCGGCATCTGCTCCTCCCAGGTGTCTGGAAACAGGACGGCGACCCAAGCGGTCGGCTTCAAGTTGACCGCCACCAGCGCACAGGCGAGACGTAGCTTCGAGACCGACTTGGGGCCCAGCCCCTTGACGCCCATGCCGGGCTCCTTGGACTTCGTCGGTGCGGTTCCCGGTTTGAGCACCGTGAGGGCATCGCAGAAGGTCCCGATGCCCGGCGCCGCGATCTTGTTCAGGGCAGCCACGACGGCTTCGGTGTCGGAATCGCCGTCGATCGAGCGAAGAAGGCGCACCGCATCCATGGCCTTCAGCATGCGGCGCACCTTCATGTCGTGTGCACCCTGCGTCGCGCCTTTGAGGAGGGTGTGGCGGTCGACGAATCCCGGCTCGGCGACCCTATTGCAAAGACGGCGGGTGTCATCGGCGGTGGCGGAGTTCCAGAGGCGCCAAGCGTCCCTCACGGTCTTTGACTCCCGCCAAGGTTGCACCACGTTGAGCTCGTAACGAGCCTCGTCGAGCGTCTGTGGGGGTTTCTCGTACCGTTTCTTGTTTCTGGCCCCCGGACTGGCCGAATCCGCGGAGCCACTCTCGCTCGGCGTCTGCTCGTTCCCCGACGGCGGCGTCTCCGGCATCCTCCGTGCTTCTGACACACGGAGTGCCTCGGTGAGACGGGTTATCTCGGTGGTCAGCGTCGCGATGGTATCGTCGCGCTTCTCGAGTTCATCCTGAAGGTCGATCTTCTCGACCGCGGCGCGCTCCCTCTCGTACTTCAGCGTCTCCTTGAGGGACATGTTATGGTATTCGGTGTTCAAGCGAACGGAGATTTCCTGCAGCACAAGGCGGAAAGGCGAAAATTGTTTAGAATACACCCGTAACAGATAGGGTCCCGACGACGCCGACTTTAGCGACGGTTTACCTCTGCCTGAATGAGGGTTGGGTCCCGGCGTTTGTTGATCGTTTCGGTGTCGATCTTCTCGACCCTTTTCGCCCAGTGCTGAAAGAGGGCAATCCGGCAGAGCTTGGAACCTTGGACGTACGGGTGCCAAGGGGTGCGGACGAGCTTCACCGCGAGGTCCTCGGCGACGATGCGGCGCATCATCTGGAGGGTACGCCAGAAGTGCACGGCGGCTTTGTCGGCGTCGCTCCCTTCTTTGGCAGCTCGCGTTTCCGCCTGCACATCGGCAGGTGATGTGGGTTAGTAAGGCGATGGGCAGCCAACGAAGCAATGGCGACGTAAGGTCATTGTCGGCGTCTATTAACATACATCGCGCAGCAGAGCATCCACGCCGGGGAAGATGTGCTCGGCGATGATGTCCAAGAGTTTGTCGGAGGGCTCGACCCTGCTGCGACCCAAGAAGTAGTCTTGCTTGCAACCCGAGTAGCCGGCCTTCTTCATCACCACCCCAACGGGAATGGCTGTGATGTAAGCACGCGTCATCTTGTCGAGTGCCCAGTGACCCAGCTCGGCGATCTCGGCGCGAGGCGTCCCTTCAATGGCTAGCACCTGCGCACCTCCGGCGCGAGCGGCGTGCACGTTCCGCTTGCAGAACACCTTGTTGGTCGTCCACAACTGCCGCGTCCAACGTTGGTGGCTGGAGGCGGAGAGCTCTTTTTGCTCCTTGTCGTTGCGGGCGAAGAAGAGGTGCTTCTTGTACCAGCGCTCGCGTTCGGTGGTGTCAAGCGGCGGAAGGAAGTCGACGCCGTTGAACTGACCGATCTGGTCGAGGATGAAGTGCAACCATAGGCCGGTCTCGCCGACGGCGCACAACTCCGCTTCCAGGTGTCGCGCCGCGTAGCTCTGCTGAAGACGGGCATCCTTGGAAGTCTTCGAGTTCCGCGCGGCGATCACCATGACGACCGGCTGGTTCTCCGGGTTTATCGACGAGGTGCTAGCCAGTCGGTACAAGAAGATGTCGGGGAGCGTGATCTCGCGGATGCTGGCGCCTCGCAGGAGAGTGTGGTGGGAGAGTAGCGTGAGCGCCTTGGTGAGCAGAAATCTCCACAGCGTCTGCGAAGGAGCGGTTGCCCGCGGGTTCCACGCCGACGCCGCCCATGTCGGCAGCACCTTCATCATGATCTGGCAGAACTGTTCGGCGGTGTATGTATCGCCGATGGTGCCGCGACGCCGGTCGGCACAATTCCTGCCCACAAAGCCACCGAGTATATTGAGTTTGACGGCGTCGACTTCATAGTGACATGGACAGAGGTTGGCGGTGTCGACAAACTTACTTGACGTCCCTCTCGTTCTTGGTGCGGACCATGAACCGCACCTCCGATCTGACCACCGATATCTCCCGCATGATGCTCAGCTCCTTCTCCCGGTAGAGCGTCGCCTCCACTCTCGCCGCCATCTGGCATGCCTTTATGCGCCCGAGGAGCGTGTGCACCGTTGTACCTTGCACCGGCTGGGTTCGCGGGGCATTGTTCCCCTCCTCGATCGACTCGGCATCGAGCTGACACTCACGTATCATGAACTTCACATAGGCGCGCAGCCGGGTTTCGGTTACCCTAGGGCCGTGCAGCCAGATGTACTCTCGGGGGACCTCGGCCACTTTTTCCCAATTCTTCTTCTTGTTGTCCCGGATGTAGTGGCCGATCTCGTCGACGTGCCTAAGCCTGTGCTCCTGGGGAAGCTTGTCGCGTATTTGCGTCAGCATTTTCGCCGCCCACCTCTTGTAATGGTAGATGAACGAGGCGTACAGCCTCAGCGTGCTATTCTTCTCCAAGGTTTGCAGGTGGCGTAGTGCGTCTATGACCAGCACGTCGATGCTTGCGTAAACCATGTCGTCCTCGACGAAGTCTGCTGCTCTCCACTGTTCGCGTGGCACCGCCATGTTCTGCTCGTCCTCGTCCTCGTCCTGTTCTAGCATGTCATCTATGTATTCAAGTTCCCGCCGGAGGCGTTCTTCCAAGGTGCGCGGATTCGTGCTACGCGGAGGACGCTCGTCGTATTCGTCGTCGCTCTCCTCCTCCTCCTCCTCCTCATCATCAACCTGGTTTCCTGAGCCGCCCGGTACCGACGAAGGTCCAGGCTGCCCATCTTGCGTCGATGTGGACTTACTAGCTGGCTTGGTAAACTCTCCTATCGGCGGTGGGGGAATGTCCTTGGTGAACTGCCCTTCTGGAATCTGTGTCAGTGCGTCAAGATCGTAGAGTAACTTGAGCGTCTCTTCGGGGGTAGAGGTGTCAATGTGGTCGGTTGGGGGACCAACGTCGGGCATGTCGACGTCTGCCATGAGGCCGCTCGTAGTTTGCTATACCGTCGACCGTGTTCGAGGTAAGGGATGGACCACCAGAGACGGTACTGAGTCGCGGGTGCGGTGTACACCCGATGAGTTGCTCAGGCGACTTCATCGGATTCTCTCTCAAGTGCTTCTAACTCAGCGGCGAGCTCGAGGCGTTCCAGCTGTGCTTTGATGTCGGCGTCTACAGAGTCGGCAGGGGGTGGGATGGGTTGCGGCTGTTGGGCTCTAGGCCGTGCTCTGGACATGCGTCGCCGACCTAGTTAGTTGTGATCGGTTACCTAAACACGCTACCGGTGCCGACGTGATCGATTGGTCGGCGCACGAGTAACCCACACTCGCGAAGATAGCTAGGGAGAGGAAAATTCAAAGTGGAAGAGGGAGCAGGAAGGAACGCAGGAACGCACAATGGAATGAGCACCAGCGCAAGGTCACGGAGGGGTATGGTCGTGAGCGACTCCCGATTTTGCCGCGCTTCACGCAACCCCCTATGCTTGTGCCGCTATGCATGTGTTCTCGTGCGGCGGCGCAGTGTCCGACGTGCCACGAGCCATGCATGGCTAATGGGTCGCCGCGCTGCACTGGGCACGTCCACGGTGGTGCGTGCGTGCGTTACGTGGCGTGGGCCCATCATTGGTGCCTCTACGCAGAAACGCCGACATGCCGACTTCCATTGCCTAAGGGCACGGAGTTATTGAAGAGCCGCGTGGCAAGCCCACCGTGAGCCCTCGTGGTCGACGCCGACTTTCGTGGTCCGGACAATCCCGTTGGATCCTTAGTCGACACCGACATGGCGAGCAGCTCGCGATGCCAGACAACTGTAACATTTTTTGACGGACAGATCTTCGCCGCGTGGATCGGCCACCGACAAATTTGGGCGCGCAGTGGAGTTCCCGCGCTGAAATCGCGGCTCGACGTGTCGTGCTGTGAATTTTTGTCCGCTGAGATGTCCTTCTCGGGTTTATCTCAGCGAAACCCGAGGTCGTCAGATCGTCGACAGTCCCGAGGTGTCAGGTCTGCCATTTCGCCCCAGTTTGCCACTCGGAGTCGTCGGGAGTTCGTCAATCCCGAGGAGGGTCGTTGTCCTATCGCAACCGCGAAATTGGGCGGCAGTTTTCGTCGGCTGAGGTATATCCTCCCACAGTCGTCGTAGCCCTGTGTGCTCCCCCCCAGTGCCACCCTCTCCAGGCAGCAACTGCTGTGACACTCTCGCTTGACACACTAATTACAGCACGAGCACTCCCCCCCTCCCACACTCTAACACGTGCCCCTGGTGCAACGAGCTTTCAAGCCATCCTGTGCCTGTCGATCGATAAGCCATCCCAACGGCGCAGTCAGGGAAGGAAACCACATGCAGCAGTCATCCAATTGTTCATAGAAGTTGTTGTTAAACAGAGAGAATCGACTCGTGTACCCAGCTGACACGCCCAGCTTCTTCCCTTGTCACGCGTCACACATCCCGGCTAGGCGGGGCCCTGTGCCCGCCGAAGAAGCTGCCAGGAAGGCACTTGCGGTCGAAGGGCCCTGGGAATACTTTTTTGCCTTGAGCCTCCTCCCACGATGTGAACTCCCTGAACTTGATGGGCGGCTTGCCGAATATGTGCAGGAATTGCAGGCGCGTCTTGCCGCTGTTCACGAGCTGGAAGAGAGGGGGAAGGGAAGCAATATGCATGATGAGATGCGATAGGCAAATGAGGGAGGCAGGAGTGGGGAAAGCGGGAAAGCGCCCTGGTGCGCCTGGTGAACAGTGTTGCGGGGAGTGATCAGGGTGAAATTGGCGAAAAGGGCTGCGAACGCTGCAACCTGTTCCATCCAACTAACACACACCTTGACTGATTCTGTAGAAAATGCCCTCGAACGGATGATTTTCTACCTGCCCAACGGTGCTCCCTTTCCAGGAATCTTCAATGTCCAGTTCTAGCCTGCTACAACCTGTTTCGTCTCGTTGCCGTACCTGGTGAACGGTGTTGTGCGGAATGATGACGGTTGAGTTCACGTGGAAGGGCGTGGAGGCGAAGGGTGCCGGCGACACTTGGTCGGTGCTGTTGGGGCGGAAGCGCAGCGCACCCTCCCCTTTCAGCACCACCACCACTGTGTCCTGCAGGGGGGGAAGGGGAGGGAGGAGGGGAAGGGCGGGCGTCTCAAGAAAGGTTGCAGGCGACACTTGGTCGGTGCTGTTGGGGTGGAAGCGCAGTGCACCCTCTCCCCTCAGCACCACCACCACCGTGTCCTGAAAAGGGGGAGGAGGGAGGAGGGAGAGGGGAGGGGGGAGGGGAGATACGGAGAACACCCTGACCGTGCTGCTGCTGTTGGGGCGGAAGTGCAGTGGGCCCCTCAGCCCCACCACCACCGTGTCCTGATGGGGAAGCGGAGGTGGGATTTTAAGGTGGAGAAGGGGAGAGAAGAGGCGGACATTCATTGGTGAACGAGTGACAGGCAGTGGAGGTGACAGAGCGACCTCCTCACCCAGCAGCAGCAGCAGCAGCAGCAGCAGCAGCAGCAGCAGCAGCACCATCACCACGGTGTGTTGCTCAGAATTCTCAAAGGCATGGCAGGGAGAGGGAGAGGGAGAGCAAAGCATGGGGTCTGGTCTGGTGTGGGTAACGAGGTGGCAGGAGAGGTGGACGGCAGGCATAGAGATTGGGGATACGGGCGAACAGAGGACGTTCAAGAGTGTAGACAGCAGCAGTTTGTGAGAGTGGTGGATCAAGCTGCACTCGTGCCGAATACTGCCTGCCTGCCTGCCACGCGTTGGTAAGCTGGAAACCTGTGTTTACCTGCACTGCAGGTAGTGGAGCGGAGCACGACCCAAACTCCAACGTCCTTGCTGCTGCTGCACTACCTGCTCTCCCCTGCCTGCCCCACGCTCCCTCCCTTTCCCCGCACCTGCTCCTGGCTGCACCCGCCATCCCCTCTCATACTCTCAACCCCTCTCATCCTTCATCCCCGCACCCCCGCACCCCCTCATCGCCCCACCCTTTCACCCCCTCATCCCCTCCCTTTTACCTGCTCCTGTGAGCGCACGTTGGTGGAGTAGCCCGGGGCGAAGGTCTGCAGCCACACCTCCACGCCCTTGTTGCCGTGATGCACCGCGCCTGATAATGTCACATGCACCAACCCCTCGAAACCAAAGTTCTCTGGTAGGAGCGCAGGAGGGGAGGAGGGGAGAAGGGAGGAGGGGAGGAGAGGCGAAGGGAGTGGGGAGGAGGGAAGAAGGGAGGAGGGGAGGAGGGGAGAAGGGAGGAGGGGAGGAGGGGAAAAGGGAGGAGGGGAGGAGGGGAGAAGGGAGGAGGGGAGGAGGGGAGAAGGGAGGAGGGGAGGAGGGGAAAAGGGAGGAGGGGAGGATGAGCCTTCCCTTATTTTTGCATCCACCATTGTTGAGCTTGTTAATGCTGTAGTTACCCCTTAATCAGCTTGCACATCTTTGCACTTACCCTGGCACAGATTATTAGAGCTCTGAGCTTACCCTGGTACGGAGGGTTGAAGCTCTAGAGTTTTCCTGTTGTGATGGCTAAAGGTTGGAACTTACCCTGGTGAAATGGCTACTGCTTCGAACTTACCCTGGTGAAATGGCGTGAAATGGCTACTGCCTCGAACTTACCCTGGTGAAATGGCAACTGCTTCGAACTTACCCTGGTGAAATGGCGTGAAATGGCTACTGCCTCGAACTTACCCTGGTGAAATGGCAACTGCTTCGAAATTACCCTGGTGAAATGGCTACTGCTTCGAACTTACCCTGGTGAAATGGCTACTGCTTCGAACTTACCTTGGTGAAATGGCTACTGCTTCGAACTTGCCCTGGTGAAATGGCTACTGCTTCGAACTTACCCTGGTGAAATGGCTACTGCTTCGAACTTACCCTGGTGAAATGGCGTGAAATGGCTGCTGCTTCGAACTTACCCTGGTGAAATGGCTACTGCTTCTAACTTACCCTGGTGAAATGATGTGAAATGGCTACTGCCTCGAACTTACCCTGGTGAAATGGCTACTGCTTCGAACTTACCCTGGTGAAATGACTACTGCTTCGAACTTACCCTGGTGAAATGGCTACTGCTTCGAACTTACCCTGGTGAAATGGCTACTGCTTCGAACTTACCCTGGTGAAATGGCTACTGCTTCGAACTTACCCTGGTGAAATGGCTACTGCCTCGAACTTACCCTGGTGAAATGGCTACTGCTTCGAACTTACCCTGGTGAAATGGCTACTGCTTCGAACTTACCCTGGTGAAATGGCTACTGCTTCGAACTTACCCTGGTGAAATGGCTACTGCTTCGAACTTACCCTGGTGAAATGGCTACTGCTTCGAACTTACCCTGGTGAAATGGCTACTGCCTCGAACTTACCCTGGTGAAATGGCTACTTCCTTGAACTTACCCTGGTACAGTTTGTTAATCTTCTGCACCACGGGTCGCTCCGTGAAGCACATGGGCTGCGCGCCCGCGCGCCGCGGAACAGATGCGAGCGCGAGCGCGACGACATACACCAGCGTGCGCGCGAGCGCGCGGGGTCTGTCGGCGCAATCTGACAGCCGCCGCTCCATTACTATCCAGCCGACTGGCTAATCAATCGGCCGGCTAACCGCGGGAATCTGGGCGGGTAGTACAGAAATCGGGGAATTCTCGGGATGGTCGGGGGAAGGAGAGCGCTAGCGCAATTATCGGGAAGGTCGGAGGAATGCAGGGCCGACGGGGACTGGTGCAGCCGCGAGGTGACAGCTGTCAGTATTGTCGGTATTGGCTTGGGATGGAACTGGGAACGGAATTCAAGTGTTTCAGAGGGAGGCAATGCGGTCCCTCCAATTTGCACCCAGATTTGCATTGTTGCGCTTGGATCATTCGCTTTCAGCGCACAAAGTCTGGAATCTTCGAATTCGTTTGGATTATTCACTAACTTTCACAAACGCTAATCACAGCTGAATTTATTTATTGAAAGCACACTTAATCATACTCTCCTCAAAGAGACCTCCCATTAATTGGTGCAGTTACTCAATTCTACTCCGATTCGTACTGTAGTCGGTGCAAAACCACCCCATTTCTAGCAGCTGCATTTCTTCCCCACCTACCAAGTCGTGGCTCCTGCGGACATAGTAGGATGTGGGTGCACGCGCAGGTGCCATTTGGGATGATGGGAGTGAGCACGAGCATGATAGCATGATGTCAAAGAACAAAAGATAGAAATTGTGGGAGAGAGAAGGTTGAGCAAAAATAGACAAGTGGGCAGAGAAGATGCATTACAATGTGCAAGCCCACCCCTTGGTGCTAGTAAGAGAATGAACGTTAGCAGAATGAAAACGTTCTCATTTACTAACCTGCCCAATGCCTGCAATGACGAAATCCGATCGATGTGCAAACGCAATAGAGTTAACAAAGCCGACCTGGAAGTAAGGGCCCAGGTAGAGTGAGGGGTGGAGGGTTGCAACAGAGCTTGAGCAAAAGCACAACAGTTGGACAATTAAGCACCCCAAGCAAGGCGCTGAATATCTAGAAGCCGCAAACAGCAGAGCATGGATTCAGATAAGTGTTAGTGGGAAAGAAAAACAGTGAGAAAGGCAAGGGAGGGGTGTGGTTTAGGGGAAGAGGGGAAGAAAAGGGGAAACGTGGGAAGGGTTGACGTGGGGAATGGGGGTGAGCGGTGGACGTGATCTGGTAATGCCAGTCCAGCCAGCCAATGCAACGCACCGTTGGCAGTGACCCCACGGGGCGCAGCCGGTTCGCTGACGTGTCGCAATGCCACAGCCTGAGAATGCCGTCGCCCGCCCCGCTGGCTGCCAGGTCAGAGCCGGGCGCCACGGCAACAGCCCCCACCCACGACTGCACTGCACTCGCTGCTGCCGCTGCTGCTGAGACAGACGGAGCAGCAGCAGCAGCAGCAGCAGCAGCAGCAGCAGCAGCAGCAGCAGCAGCAGCAGCAGCAGCAGCAGCGGCAGCGGAGGCAAACGGCGCAGCGTCAGGGGCTGCATCTGCTGGTTGTTGGGCAGCAACGCCGTTAGGCAGGCCATTTTGAGCGGCATCAGCAGCAGCAGACGTGGCAGGTGTACCAGCAGCAGCAGTGGTGGTGGTGCCATGCGCTGCCCGCACGACGTGCACGGGCTTCTTCTTCAGGGCGGACCAGAGAGACAGCGACCCATCATCACCACCCGTGATGAAGGAGGAGGGCGAGAGGAAGGCACACGAGTCCAGGCACGAGGGCGCCGGCGCTCGGAACACCAGCTGTGTCTCCTCGGGTACCTGCCGTGAGATGGATGGGGAGAGGGGGAGAAGGGGGGAGGAGGAGATGGGGGGGAGGGGGAGAAGCCAGTGATGAAGGTAAAGGGCAAGAGGAAGGCACACGAGTCCAGACAGGAGGGCGCCGGCGCTCAGAAAACCAGGTGAGTTTCTTCATGTACCTGTGGTGGGATTGGAGAGAGAGAGAGGAGGAGGAGGCAAAGGGGGAACAGCTGGTGTTGAAGGCGGAAGAGATGAAGGGGCATGAGTGAGTCCAGGCACGAGGGCGCCGGCGCTCGCAACACCAGCTGCGTCTCCTCGAGTACCTGCCGTGTGATGGGGGGACGGGGGAGAAGGGGATGGAAGAGGAGAAGGGGGGTAGGAAAAGGGTACAGTCAGGGATGAAAGCGGAGGGCGACAGGAAGGCGAGAGCATTCAGGCAGGACGGCAAACGCGCTCGGAACACCAGCTGTGTCTCCTCGGGTACCTGCCGTGGGATGGGGTTGGGAGAAGGAGGAAGCAGCCAGTGATGAGTGCAGAGCGGTACGGGAAGGTGCATGAGTGTAGGGACGAGAAAGCAGGTGCTTGCAAGGGTGCCCTGCACCTTACACAGCCTGCATCAGATAGCACCTGCCCCGGGCAAACCCACCCAGAGAAACCTTCCAGAGCCGGCTCTCGCCACGGACACGATCCTCTGCGGTGCAGCAGCTGCACATACCATGAGCGCCTGCAGCGGCACTATCTCCGCCTGGTGTGCACATACCCCCCACCCCTTCCTCACACACACGCACCTTCCAGAGCCGGCAGGTCCGATCTCTCGCCACGGACACGACCCTCTGTGGGTGCCTGAGCGCCTGTAGCGCCACTATCTCCGCCTGGTGGCCGAACAGCGAATCCATGTACGCCACGTCAGCGCAGCTCCACAGCTTGATGCTGCGGTCGGCGGACGCGGAGAAGAGGTCGAGCGATGCCGGCCGGAAGGCGAGCGACATGACCGCCCCCCTGTGGCCGGCAAAGGACTGGCGTGGGGCGGGAAGGGGGGTGGACGGGAGGGCGGAATAGGAAAGGGAATAAGGTAGGAAGGCGAGCGACATCACGTGACTGCCCCTCTCTGGCCGACAAAGGACTGTTCCCCTCTGCTCCGTGCGTTACGCAGGTGCACCACGCGGCAGCAGCCCCCCGCCGCTGAGCTCTCATGCGCCCCTAACCATAATCTGTAAACCCCACACGAACTTCCAAACCCCGAACCCTGACCCCTGCCCCTCACCTTGACGTGCGCGCGCGTGCGCGCGTCCCACAGGTGCACCATGCGGTCCAGCCCCCCCGCCGCCAGGTACCGCCCGTCGTCGCTCACACTCACGCTCAGCACGTGCCGGCTGCTCTTCCCCCCCTTCCCCTTCCCCTTATTCCCCCCTCCGCCTCCGCCTCCGCCTCCGCCACCCGCCCCCGCGCCCCCATCCGACCGGGAGTTGGGGTTTGAGTTTTCGGGCCAGGGGAACTTAAAGCTCGTTCCCGACTCGATGTCCCAGCCCACTATTAGTCCGTCTTTTGACACCGCGAAGCCCGTTCTGTCGTCCAATGAGAGCGCGACACCTGTCACCGACTGCTTGTGTCTGCGACCCACTGGCTGCCCTGGCGATGCTGACGTGGACGGGATAAATCGGGTCGCGATTCGCCGGATCACTCTGCCGCTCTCTTCTAGCGCGTCTTGCTTTAATCGGGCAGCTATTAATGCGTCCTGCTCCTCTTTTAAACCCTCGTCCCCTTCCTCCTCCCCCTCTTCGTCTCCATCCCCCTCCTCCGCCTCCTCCTCATCTTCACTCTCCCCTTCCCCGCTTCTATCCTCCGCCTCTTCCGCCTCTTCGTCCGCCTTCTCCCGCGCGGCCAGAGCCGCTGCCCGCTTCACTTCCGACAGGTACGACCGCGCAATGCGCAGGCGCTTCGCCTCCGCGCTCTCCGCCAAGCGCGCATCCCCCTCCTCCCCGTCCGACCCGATCTCCGCGTCCTCTTCCGCCGCCTCCTCCGCCCGCGCGAAAAACGACTCTTCCCGCTCCCCGTCGTCAATTAACTCGTTCCGCGCTCTTTTTCGCCCGGCTCCTCCTCCCTCCGCGCGACCCCTTCCGCCTCTGCCCCGCCCGCCACCGCCCCCTGCTCTCCCCCCACGTCCCCGCCCGCGGTCACCGCCGCGGGCACGATACATCCTGACTCCGCGATTCGCGGGGACGAATCGCAGCACTCTTTTGTTTCCGACGCGGACTCACGAATCGGGCAAAAAAATCCACTCCGTTTGGCCAAGGTCTGCCTGTAACGACACTAGCCCCGCGACGAACAGAGGCAGCAGTCGAACAGGATGACCAAGTCACAAGACTCGGCTTTGGGTCTTGGGGATGGAAGGAGGTGGTCTGGCGGGGTTCGTGGGTGTTGGGTTCGCTATTGCAAAAAACTCGGATCTCACCGAATAGCCACGCCAGTCTGATAATTTAAACATAAACAGCATCATTTTCAAATTCCTCATGTTTGGCCCATTGCTAGCGCTCCCATTTACTTGAGTTAAAAGAATAGTAAGTGTTCTAGAATGCGTAACCCCCTGAGAAGACAGCCCAAAACTTCCAATACGTACATTGAATGGGCACTCTATCTAACCATCCAAAAAGAACTGTATCCTAAAGCATGGAAATCTACCGTAGAAAACATGAATATACAGTCCAATGCAACGATGACAAGGGATAAAAAGGAAAGAAAATAAACACACACTGAAAAAAGAGCCGTTCTATACTAGTATCCCACCTCACATCTCATTCCTGTCACCGTACTAAAATCCAAACTAGTAGGTCCACTCACAGCTCAATGCCTTCCACCCCAACCCATTCAGCACCCCACGACGCAGTACAGGCCATTCTTGGAGGGCCAGTCGCATGCACGCGGGGCAGCAGCATAGTCAGGCACACGGGGAGACCACCACAGCAGTCCCACCAAAGAACCACATCACCTCAGCACCCCCCCACCCCCCCATCCATTACTTCCTGACTCCTCAGCACCCCCCCACCCCCCCATCCATTACTTCCTGACTCCTCAGCACCCCCCCACCCCCCCATCCATTACTTCCTGACTCCTCAGCACCCCCCCCCCCCCCCCCCCCCCCCATCCATTACTTCCTGACTCCTCAGCACCCCCCCCCCCCCCCCCCCCATCCATTACTTCCTGACTCCTCAGCACCCCCCCACCCCCCCATCCATTACTTCCTGACTCCTCAGCACCCCCCCCCCCCCCCCCCCCCCCATCCATTACTTCCTGACTCCTCAGCACCCCCCCACCCCCCCATCCATTACTTCCTGACTCCTCAGCACCCCCCCCCCCCCCCCCCCCCCATCCATTACTTCCTGACTCCTCAGCACCCCCCCCCCCCCCCCCATCCATTACTTCCTGACTCCTCAGCACCCCCCCCCCCCCCCCCCATCCATTACTTCCTGACTCCTCAGCACCCACCCCCCCCCCCCATCCATTACTTCCTGACTCCTCAGCACCCCACAACGCAGTACTGGCTGTTACCCGAGGGCCACGTGCAGGCGGGCGGGCCAGCAGCATAGTCGGGCACGCGGGGGACCACCACAGCAGTGCCACCAAAGAAGCACGTGCCAGGCTGGTGGTTGTGGCGGTAGAAGTACGCATTGAAGGCGTGAGACGCATGCTCCACCAGCGCGCCATCTCCCTGCCAGCACGCCCCTCCCGGCAGTATGGGAGAGCAGTCCACCCCGCCCGGCCCACACGCCCAGTCAAGCGCCCTCTGCACCGCCCCCATGTCTGCCGCACACCTGCTCCCCCCGCCCCTACCCCCTCCGCCCGGCGCCACCACACCTCGGGGAGGGTAATCCGGCTCGGGGGAGTACCCAGGGTATACCGGGTGAACGAGGCCCGGAGGGGGAGCGTACGGGTCAGGGATCTCCTGGCAGGCAGTGACGCAGAACTGGCCATTGGAGGATGGGAAGGTGCAGGTGGCCGGGCCGGCAGCGTAGTCGGGCACGCGGGGAACGACGACGGCGTTGCCTCCGAAGAAGCAGGAGCCGGGGCGGTGCGCGTGGATATGGAAGATGGAGTTGAAGGCCACTGAGGCGTGCAGGGCGAGGTTGCCAGGCTGGAAGCACGCGCCGCCAGGCTGGATGGAGGAGCAGTCGGCGCCGCCGGGCCCACACGCCCAGTTGAGTGCGTTGAGGAGTGAGCCTGGGGCCACCCCGCAGCGCAGGTGGTGAGCGGTGGTGGGGGGAGGGATTGTGGGAGGGGTGGTAGTGGGCGGGGGGGTGGTTGTGGGGGGAGGAGTGGTGGGAGGAGTGGTGGTGGGGGGAGGGGTGGTAGTGGGGGGAGGGGTGGTTGGAGGAGTGGTGGAGGGGGGAGGGGTGGTGGGGGGAGTGGTAGTGGGGGGAGGGGTGGTGGGAGGTGTGGTGGTAGGAGGAGGGGCGCTTGGAGGAGCGTTGGTGGGAGGAGGTGTGGTGGGTGGGAGGACCGGGGGGATCGGGACGCCATCATCGGCATCACCGTCAGCAGCAGCACCACTGGCACCACCATCATCGGCATCACCGTCAGCAGCAGCACCACCATCCTCAGCATCACCAACATCATCGGCATCACCATCAGCAGCTCCGCCACCACTGGCACCACCATCATCGGCATCACCATCATTTGCAGAACCATCTTCGGCATCACCATCATCATATGATGCATCCCCTGCTGCTGGGTCCGGAGGGCTCACTGCCCCTCCACTTCTGCCACCACTACCAGTGCTGCCGGTGCTACCGGTGCCACCACTGCTGCCACTGCCACCACTGCTACCGCTGCCGCCACCTGGAGTGGCAATCACCCCTCCACCAGAGCTGCTAGAACTCCCACCTCCGCTCCCAGACGCTCCCCCCGCACCCTGTCCCTGTGCCTGCCCCTGCCCTGTCGGTGCAACCAGGGTGCTGTGCTTCGCTGCCCTTGCCACTGGCACGGCCACCACACCTGTTCCCACGGCTTGGGCCGGCTTGGCTCGGACTGGCTTGGCCCGGGCCGTACCCGCATGCTGGTTTGCTGCCACGTGGGCAGGGGGACGGGGTTTGCCGTTGTGGTGGCCAGGTGTGGCATGGGCCGAACCGCCATGGTAGTTGCCCGGACGCTTCACCGGCTTGGCCTGGGAAGCCGGGCCTCGAGCCCCGGCTTGGCGCTTGACCGGCCTGGCTCGGGTAGCTCGGTTCGGAGGAACAGGCGTGGGACGTGCCACGGCACGTGGCGGACGGCGAGTGGCAGCAGTGCGAGGGACCATGGGCTTGAGTGCTGCGGTGCTGTCAGCAATGTCAGCAGTGTAGTAGTCGCCGCCAGTAGGGTAGAGTGAATCCTCTGCATCATTAGGTTCTGCACCATACGCGTCAGGAAAATATGAGTTGTCACCTCCACTGAACCCTAACCCCTGGTTACTCCCATAGTCGCCCTCCCATGTGCTGTTGTCGCTGCTGCCATCGTTGCCTGTACCATCATCCCAGCCTCCCTCCGAGCTGTCGTCCCAGCCTCCATCCGAACCATCGTCCCAGGCATCCTCCGAGCCTCCCCCCGAGCCTACATCCCAGCCTCCTCTGGAACCATCGTCCCAGACTCCACCCGAGCCGTCATCCGAGAGTGCATCCGAGCCGTCGTACCAATTCGAGCCCGAAAAATCTTCCCAACTTACATCCGAACCATCTTCCCAAACTCCATTCGACCCGTCATCCCGCTCTCCTTCCGAGCCTCCTTCCAAACCATCATACCAGCCTCCTTCCGAGCCACCGTCGGAGCTATATTCCGAGCCTCCCATCCTGCCGTTCTGCTCATCTATAGCGTCCAGCATTGGCCAGTCACCGCCCGCGCTCTCCTCACCTGATCCCGAGTCGGTGTATCCCGCCAAAATTCCTCCCGGGGGACCTCCCATCTCCTCGTTTTGCTCCGCTATAGAGTCCAGCATCGGATTACTGTACCGAACCACACTGTGCTGTCGAGGCGACCGTCGACCGTGGCGCCCATGATGCGGACGGCCGAGCAGCTGCATGCTGTCGTAGGCCGGACCGCCGCCGCCGCTGGAGGCTGCGCGAGGAACCTCCTCGAGAATCTCCACCTCGTCGCCGTCGCGGTCAGTCCCATCGAAAACTTTCATTGTCTGCCCCGTGCCGCGGTCAAACTCGAAAGTGCCACCGTCGCTGTCCGTCACTAGAAGCTCGCGCGGACGAAATCGATGCCCTCCGCCGAGCCTGGCCTGGTGCCCAGGCCTGCGAACGAGCTTCGGTGCGCGGCTCGTAATGAGCATCCTGGCTCGCGAATTCCGGGCTCGGCGAGTTTCTGGGCGCGGCAGCCGCCTGCGCGCGAAGCGGACGACTTGGATGGGCGGAGTGGTGGCGGAAGGGGGGGAAGGCGGAGGCGGAAGATCGGGGCTCGATTCCGCGCGGAGATGGTGCTGATGCACGAAGGTTGGGCGCAGCTGGTGGCTCGTGCGGTGCTGGCTGTTGTGCCTGCGCGGCGGGCGCGGCGGTATGGGCTCGCCGCGCGGCCCTGTCGCGTAGTACCGGCTCGGGAAGAACCTTCCGCGACCTGCGGTGGACTGGAGAGCGCATGCGACGAGCAATAGGATGACTGCGACGCGTGCGGACGCCATGATGACGACTAACCTAGCAGAGCAGTGCCCTAGTGAGATGTTCACTATCGGCGGTTGCGGGCCTTTCTTCGTCCCTTGTAAAAGTGCGAAAGCAATAAGCAGAGTTATGTGTTTTCTGTTCCGCGTACAATGCACAGGTGAGCTCTTTGGAAGAGGCTACCTCTAATGTCTTCGACGTTCGCTCTAAGTTACATGGATCCAGAAAGCCAAGCCTTGGGTTTTGAAGTGCGGGTGAAAGAGGGATGAGGGGAGGGAGGGAGAGAAGCAGGAGCAAGAAAGCCCACGCATTGCTGGCAGTCATTCGAGCCAATTTCGTCTCGCAGCGACTCCAGCACAGCAAATGTCAATTTCGCCCCTCCTTCTTTGGCATCTGCGAAACAGCGCATTTCGTTGTCGCCTGACCTTGCCTTGGTGGAATTCGCTGTGATACGTAACAAGAAGGTCATGGAGTCGCCAGCACCACCTCTGACTGTTCTCGACTTTCGCTGGACTCGGCAGGAATTGGGTTGGCGAAAAATCGGCCGCCACGTGTAAGTACATCCGCTTGTGCGACTGCCTGAGGAGTACAACCAGGTGCGCGCGACTTCGCAGGACTGACTGCGCCAGGCAATCCAGGGGAAGCTTGAAAAGGGAAATATGATGATTGACCGCAGCGACTGGGCTGGGCAATGCTGGGCTCGTCGTGGTGACGTGGAACAACAGGTCAACCGCTTCATATCCGCGATGTGAAATCCAGCGTTGAAAGGAAAAACCAGCCAGTTTCATTCTATATCATTTTACACTCTATGATATGACTTAATAACCATAGAAGAAACGTTTAGTAGTGCTGGTGTGTTTGTTTAAGAATCCCAATTGTGCTATATTAATTTTTCAAAAATAATAGAATAAATCACATGAAGATGCTACACATTTTTTGAAAGGTTACAGAAGGATGGAAGTGAGATACCGCTGGTTACATGATTTTACAGCCCACGTCAACGTTTCCACGTACAGCATCAGTGTGGAGCCACGTCGTCTCAATCCACGCACCATCCTTATGATCCTTCTATCGAGTACAGATTTCGCCAGCCCTGTTTCCCCACCACCTCCCCTTCTCGTTTGGATAAACCTCTGATCCTTGTTTCGTGCATGACTGCTCTAGAATCTCCACTCCTGGTTGCATGTGTTCTAGTGATCTGTCCTGAAGTTCTGCTGCAGCTGCATGGTTTGTCTGAAACCATCTGCTGCTGCTTTTCGAATATATTGAAGCAGCCTGATTTTTGTTGCACTTTCAGCAACCCTAGAAATCACAAATCTGTTCAGAGTACGTCTGACGTCCAGCGATCGCGCCCTCCCAGTCATGGCGTCAGCATTGACTCACATTGGAGGAACGCCTGTCGCCACCATTCGTCCAGAACCCACAGCCACTCTCAGAACTCCCGCGAGCCAGGCTTCGTCCGTAACATGGTTACCACCAGCCGGTATACGCCACTCCGTGTCCCGAGTTTCTGCTTTCGTCGGCCGGCGCGGGTCCAGCCACGGCTGGTCGCACGGAAACAACCGCTCGGCGCGCTTAGAGGTGACGGCGAGGGCGGGAGGCGCGCGGCCGCGGCCCGCTGGTGCGCGGCCGTCGCAACGGCCACCGATGAGACGGCAGCAGCAACAGACGGAGGATAAGGACGGACCGCTGATGAACAGTGATATCAGGTGAGAGACGGACCGCAGGTGAAACTGAAAGCAGGTGATTCGCACTGCAGATGAACACTAATATCGACGGACCGCAGGTGAACAGTAGATCAGATGAGACGGAGTGCAGGTGAATGGTGGACAGGTGAGTCGAATCGCATGCCGACAGCCGTGCTAGATAAGCAATAATAAGAAGGATCCCTGACGTTAGGTGAAACTTCCCAGGCTTGATTAGATTAGAAGGCAAGCCGTGAGCGACGGGGGGGGGGGGGGGTGGGGGGAGAGAGGGGGGGAGGTGGGGGGGGGGAAAGGGGGGCAATGCAGCCTCTGGAGCGCAATGCATCGTAGCCCGTGGATCGCCTGCCTCGGGGCTGTCGCGACGCGTCCCATCGGAGACCGTTTGGTTAGCATGGATTGTGGAAAGTTCGGTCCGATGCGTCTCAACGTAGGCTTTAGTTTGCGCAGCAGATTTGAGGCGGAGCGGATTAGGGCGGTCAGCTGTGCGTGCATTTCGCCGCACACGACGCGCGAGCTGTCGGCGAGAGAAGCTGCAGGCGTCTGAGCCGTGGCATGGCGCGCTATCTCGACGAGTCGCGAAGGTGTCTTTGAGGCGCCTCGGAACGCGAAGGTTGACTCGACGCGCTGTTTCGACGCGGCTCGTGCGTGTTGTTGAAGTGGTTTGTCGAACTATATCCGATTCAGAGTGTGAGGGGATTGGGTGCGGGGGGTTAATGCTCGGGTGTGGGGGGTCGCGCGAAGCATTGTGATCACGACGGGTGCGCGTGTGGGGGGTTCGTGTGGGTCGCGGTAAGAGAATCCCCTCCATTGCCGACAATGTTGAAATCACTTTTGAGAATCACGATGTTCTTCAAAGAGACTTCCCTCCTTTGCCGACGACGATCTCGCAGCGTTCGCTCTGCCGCAACGCGAACGACCTGGCCATCGCGAGTCGAGCCGAACCGACCTAACGGTCACCATGTTCGCACCGCGTTTTCATTTTAATGTGCGAAGCGATTGCGTGTGTGGAGTCTAGTCGAGTCGAGTCGGCTCACTAGTCGCCACATGCCAGTCACTAGTCGAGTCGATTCACCATGCACCATTCACCAGTAACCATGTAGCATCCACCATCCAACATCCACCATGCACCATCCACCATCCAACATCCACCCTGCACCATCCACCATCCACCATGCAACATGTATGTACGTACCCCGTATGCCAAACCAATCTGCACCCATCCATCCGTCCCTCCACGTGGCAGGGTGCCCACGCTGCGGCTGCTGGCAGAGGACCAGACTCTGGTGAGTGCAGCACCGCGTAGCTGCGCGGAGGGATTCTCGTTGGCGTCCTTTTGACCTCGATCAATGCATACTGGCTGCTTTTGACCTCGATCAATGCATACTGGCTGCTTTTGACCTCGATCAATGCATACTGGCTGCTTTTGACCTCGATCAATGCATACTTGCTGCTTTTGACCTCGATCAATGCATACTGGCTGCTTTTGACCTCGATCAATGCATACTGGCTGCTTTTGACCTCGATCAATGCATACTTGCTGCTTTATTCGCGTAGTGTAGGCGAGGGAATAAGAGCATTGAACAAGGAGTCCTCGGGTCATTCTCTCGCGCCGCGCCTCCCATTTCTTATTCCCACCGTCGCCCTTTTTTATTACCTGCCGCTGTGACTAACTGTAGCCAAGCCTGTAGCCGTGGCCGTTCCTCTCCCCTCCTGTTCTCGGCTGTCTCCCACTGTGCCTTTGACTCGCCCCTCCCTCTCTCCCTTTCCCTCTCAATCTGCCTGTGCCTGCCTGCCTTCCTGCCCGCCTGTGCGAGCGAGCACGTGAGCAGCTGGGGATAGTATCGAGAGAGGAGGCGCTCTCCAAGGCCCGAGAGTCGGGGCTCGACTTGGTGAGTCCGTGCTGAGGTGTGCTGAGTCAGCCGAGGCGAGTCCACCGAACGGCTAGGGATGCATTTATGGACGTGGTGGGGAGTGAGTGAGTGGATGTTGTTGTGGCGATGAGCTGATGGTTGTGACACGCTGTGAGCTCCCCTCGTAACACTGCTTTTGAGCTGACTCGAGTTGACTCAAAACCGGGTGTAATGAGTCTGCTTTTGAGTCGACTAAGAAGCAGTCCACCGGAAGGCTGGGGATGCAGATATGGACGTGGGGAGTGAGTGGGATGTTGTGGTGGCGTTGAGCTGATGGTTGTGACACGCTGTGTGTGAGCTGAGCTGCCCTCGTAACACTGCTGCTCACAGCGTCACATTCTGATGCTGCACCATCCGCTCATTGTTCCTGTGTTCACCTCCCTCCGCTGCCCTGCTCTGCCCTCCCTGGTTCTCCCCTGCCCTGCCCTGCCCTGCCCTGCCCTGCCCTGCCCTGCCCTGCCCTGCCCTGCCCTGCCCTGCCCTGCCCTGCCCTCCCCTTCCCCGCCCTGCCCTTCTCTACCGTGGCATGAGAGCAGGTGATGATAGCGGCGGACGCGAAGCCGCCAGTGGCGCGCATCATGGACTACAGCAAGTTCCGGTACGAGCAGCAGAAGAAGAAGCGCGAGCAGCAGAAGAAGGCTGCTGCCAGCCGCCAGGAGCTCAAGGAACTCAAGATGCGGTCAGCTCCCTCACTCGCTCCCTCACTCGCTCCCTCACTCGCTCCCTCACTCACTCCCGCACTCACTCCTGCACTCACTTTCTCACTTGCTCGCTCCCTCACTCGCTCACTCACTCGCTCACTCACTCACTCACTCTCTCACCCACCCACTCACTCCCTCACTCGATCGCCCCCTCACTCACTCCCTCTCTCGTGCCAACCAACCCTTCATCCCTGTTATATATTTCTTTGAATTTTCAAGAAAATGCTGCAGGAAACTCAAGATGCAGTGAGCTTCCTCATCCCTGCCCTTCATCCCACCTCCTCCACCTCCATCCATCCCATCACCCTTCTCTCTTCTCTTCTCCTTTCTCCACTGCCTCTTCTCTGTTCTCCCGCTTGTCCCTCTCCGTCGATTCTTGTGTTGGTTGGCGCCTTATTGTAATGTCAGATGTTGACCTCGGGATTGCGTTTTGACCTTTAGATTGCATGAACACTCAATAATTGGATGTTTTGACCTTCAGAACGCATATCGACATTCCATCTCTTCTCCCCAACACCTCCTCACAGCTTATCCCCCCGTAACCCTCCTTCTCTCCTTGCCCATTGCCCCTCCCTGCCTGGCCTTCCCTGCCCCGGCCACTCGTCTGGCAAGGCATGCATCCACTTGGTGTGAATTTTCTTACCTGTTGGGAGTGAGTGACTGTGAGATTGAGTCATTGTGAGGCATTCGTCCCTTGACTCCCCCCGCCCCCTTCTTTTGTCTCCCCTCCCCCACCCCTGATCCCCAGGTACAACATTGACACAGGGGATTACAACGTGCGCCTCAAGCAGGCTCTTAAATTCCTGCACGACGGTGATAAGGTGCGGTGCATGGTGGTGATGAGGGGTGATGCGTGGTGGCGATAAGGGGTGATGCGTGGTGGCGTGGTGATAAGGGGTGATGCATGGTGGTGATGAGGGGTGATGCGTGTTGGTGACAACGGGTGATGCGTGATGGTGGTAAGGGTTGATGCGTGGTGATGATAAGGTGCGATGCGTGGTGGTGATTAGGTGCGATGTATGCTGGTGATTAGGTGGCAAAAAGAGCTACGGAGAACCTTTTTCATCTGTTTCCCATATGTTTCCAATATGTTTCCCATATGTTTCCAATATGTTTCCCATATGTTTCCCATATGTTTCCAATATGTTTCCCATATGTTTCCAATATGTTTCCAATATGTTTCCCATATGTTTCCCATATGTTTCCAATATGTTTCCCATATGTTTCCAATATGTTTCCAATATGTTTCCAATATGTTTCCCATATGTTTCCCATATGTTTCCCATATGTTTCCCATATGTTTCCCATATGTTTCCCATCTGTTTCCCATATGTTTCCCATCTGTTTCCCATATGTTTCCCATCTGTTTCCCATATGTTTCCCATCTCCTCTCTCCCTCCTCCCCTCCCTTGCCATCTGCCCTTCCTCCTTTCCCCCCCTCTTCCCCCCTCGCCCCACTCCCCCCTTGGTTGTGTGTGATGGCAAGCTGACAGTGCAGATCCGAGGGCGTGAGATGGAGTGGTAAGGAGCAGGGAGTGAAGCCAACTTCCAGCATTCCTCTCCACTTCTGCCCTTCTTCCTTTCTCCTCCTCTCTCCCCCTCCCCTCTCCCTCCCCTCCCCCCTGGGTGTGTGGGAGGGCAGGTGAAGCTGACAGCGTAGTTCAGAGCGTGTGAGATGGGGTTCAAGGAGCTGGGGGTGAAGCCAAGTTCCAATATTCCTCTCCTTCCTCTCCACTCCCTCCTGTCTTCCTTTCCCCTTCCCTCTTGATTGTGGTGTCTCGCAGGTGAAGCTGACAGCGCAGTTCAGAGGGCGCGAGATGGAGTTCAAGGAGCTGGGAGTGAAGCTCTTTGAGAAGTTCCAACATGACGTCGCTGAGGTGAGCGGGCCACCTTCTCTGCTCACCCTCCTTTTGTGTGGTTCTGGCAATGGTTGTGTTGAGCCCAAAGGCACAACTTCACATATCGAGGATCTCTCCCCGCACACGCTGCTCTCCCCCCTCCACTTCCCCCACCTCCCCATTCCCTGTTTTTTAGCGCATGCAGCTGGCAATCGTGGAGTCGAAGGTGCATGTGTAGGGGTTGTCGATGCACATGGTGCTGGCACCCAACAAGGCCACACTCACCCCCCTCACCAAAATGCACGTGCCTCTCCTACTCATGTCTTCCCCAGCCCCCTTGCAGCTGGCGATTGGGGAGTCCAAGGTGCTTCTGGAGGGGTGGTCGACAATGCACATGGTGCTGGTGCGCAACAAGGCCGTTCTCACTCCCCTCTCACCCTCCACGCACATGCTTCTTGTCCTCTCCCCCTTGCGTCACCTTGCTCCCTCCCTGCAGCTGGCGATCGTGGAGTCCAAGGCGCATCTGGAGGGGCGGTCGATGCACATGGTGCTGGCTCCCAACAAGGCCGTGCTGCAGCGCATGGCTGCCGCCGAGGAGAAGAGCCGGAGGGCGGCGGAAAGGAGCAAGCGCGCCGAGACGCGTGGAGTGGTGTCTGGGAGCGAGAGTGACGGGGGGGAGAGTGCAGGGGAGAGTGATGGGGAGAGCAATGGGGAGAGCAATGGGGAGGAGGTGGTGGAGGTTGTGAAAGAGCCAAGTGGGCGGCAATAGGTCAAGTGGAAGGTTTGGGTGAAGAAAACGGGATGAAATGATGCGAGGAGCCATTTCTTGATGAAAGGTTTGCTAGCCAACATCTGCCACTTTGTTGAGGGCTTGCTAGCTAGTGGTGGTTTCTAATGCGGTATTATTTGTAAGTCTAAACAATTTCCCCTCCAAACAAATTTGTAAGTCTATACAATATTCCAGCTGTGCAACTTCCACTCGTCCAGGTTGGAAATATTGACGATGCGTCACGTGCCAACGTCAATGCTGGTTACCCCATTTCCTGCTAACCGTCAGTTGTCGCAGCAGAGCCAAGCGCAAATGGTGACCAGAGTTGACTCTGTTTCCAGTCGACACCTGTCGTGCGAAGGTAGTAGGCTGGCGAAATCTTGATTTCGAGCTAACAAAATTCATGCGAATCAGAACGAAATACACCGTTTCGCTGGTGGGATGGGTTAGGGAAACTAGGGGTGGCGAGTCGCACACATGTGCCTGGCTGGAATCGCAGAAGCAGAAAATGTGAATTGCTGGAGTCAGCAGCATGTTCTCTCGGGCTTGGGCTGAGTTTCCATGAAAGCCGCCCTTCCTCTCTCACTTTTCCTGAACATCAAGAAATAATGCGAGGAGCCATTTTCCCACCTTAGTACAAGCTTTCATTCAATATCATAAAAGAATCCTTCGACCATGCTAGGAGTCGAATAGTGGCATTGAATCGCAAATCACAGGGGTCTGACGTGACTTACGTCTGTTGAGGAGAAAAAGCACCACCTGACAGAACTGAAGTTGCCTGTACAGAAACGCTTAGTCGAGAACAAGCAGGTGATGCTTGGGAGTCGTCATGGCACCCACGCGTTCACTGACAGTAGTATTTCTCCTCGTCGCGTTCGCGCTGCAACTTCAACTGGTAGCCGTCGAGAGTCGCGGCGGTCGGTCCTTCCGCGGCGCGAATGTCGCACCGCGCGCTGTTGAACATGCGCCGCGCGTGACGGCGCACACTCCGACTCAACTCAACAGCCGCCACCACCACCACAACCAGAAGAACAGCGTTCGGAACACCCCCGAACTACGCCCGACTCGCGCGGGGGAGCACCACCTCCGCGCCGCAGCCCAGCGCCCTGATCTTCCGACTCCGCCTTCCCCGCCTTCCGCGACCACTCCGCCCATCCAATTCATCCGCCGCTTCGCGCGCAAGCGACTGCCGCGCCCTGAAACTCGCCACGCGCGAAATTGGCGCTCAAGAACGCTTATTCCGATCCACGCATCGAGGCTCGTTCGCAGGCGGCCAGGTGAACAGGCCAGGCTCGGCGCAAGGCCGAGGTTTCTTCTGCGTGGTGGCGGCGGGGGCGGCGGCGGCGGCGGTGGCGGTGCCGTTGGTGGTGCGGCCTACGACAGCATGAAGCGGCTCGGCCATCCGAAAAGGCGCCGCACTTTACGGCACGCCAGGTTTCCTCGACAGAAGCACAGTGTCGTTCGATATAGCAGCAACCCTATGGACACCCTAAGGGAGCAGAACGCCGAGATGATGGGAGGCTGGTGGTCCGGTGGGTCCGATGCTGACAACTCTTATGGTGCTTCTGAGGGTCGTTCGGATGGTGGTTTGGACGGTAGTGGTTCGGATGGTGGTTTGGACGGTAGTGGTTCGGATGGTGGTTCTGATGCAGGTTCTGATGGTGGTTCGGGCAATCCTATGCTGGACACTTTAAGGGAGCAGAACGCCGAGATGATGGGAAGCTGGTGGTCCGGTGGTTCGGATGGTGGTAGCGGTGACGGTGACAGCTCGGATGGTGGTTCGTATGGTGGTTCGGATGGTGCCTCCGGATCGGGCGATGGCAGCTCGGGTGGCTCTGCTGGCGGCTCGGACGATGCTTGGGATGATAGTTCATCTGGAGGCTTGGAAGATGGTTCGAGTGGGGCCTGGGATGGTTCGGAGGGGTCTGGCGATGGTTTTGAAGAGGCTTGGAATGGCTGGAGTGGAGGCTCGGGCAATGGTATGGATGGAGGTTGGGACGATGGTTGGGGAGAAGACTGGGAGGATGGTTGGGGAGAGGATGGTTGGGGAGAAGACTGGGAGGATGGTTGGGAAGAAGACTGGGAGGATGTTTGGGGAGAAGACTGAGAGGATGATTCAGGCGGATGACTGGTAGGGAGCCAGGGACGATGGGAGAGCAACAACGGGAGTGTTGCTGACCCGAGCTGCCAGCCCTCCATCCACCACCCATCACATCACCTTCCCCACTCTCATCACTCCTCCCACATCTCCCCCTCTATCACCCCTCCTCCCACACTCCTCCTTCCACCACTTCTCCCCCAGCCTGGATGAGTGTATATATGATGTGATTTCTGGTTAGTATATCCATTTTTATTTTCTGCTTCTGTTTGCACTTACAGAACCTGCTGTGCTGCTGTGTAGGATGGGAAGAAATTCTTTGCGGTTGGAGGTGGTTGATCTGGTTCCCGGGGAAACAAATGCAACACAATTTATAATATGCATAGTTGGCAATTGCCACTTCGCGAGCTCTTAGATTTCTGCACATAGAATTGCATGGTTCTTACCACCGGCCTAGTATGCCTTTCCTTATACACATGGTGTCGTGCAACAAGGAAGTAAGATGAGATTTAAGACATGGGGAAGGGGCACTAGCAAACTTTTAAAAGAGAAACAAACCGCTTGTGAGTGCACAGAACCATCTCTGTTCGATCCTGCAAAAACAGAACCTCCTCGCTGTCCCCTGGTCTCCCTCCCCCTCACCCCCACCTCCCTTCACCCGCTCCCCCATGTTCGTCTCATCCACATTCCCTTCCCCCACCTCTTCCCCACCCCTCCTTCCTTCACGACGTCACCCTCGCTGATACCCGCAGAAGTAGATCCCCCACATTGGTGATTTGAAACGGGAAAACCACATGCTCTCATTTCACTGCTTGTCGCCTCTTCCCCCCTCCACCTCCACCCCCTCGCCACCGCTTTTGCAGCTGCCCCCTTCTCCTGCACCTCCCTGTATCTCTCTCACTACCAGCATCAGCACCTCCTACACCACTCCTCTCCTTTTTTTTTCTTTCTTCTAAAGTGGAAGGCCTATGCTTTCATTTCACTGCTTGCCGTGTCCCCCACCCTCCGCACCCCCTGCACCACTCTTGCTTCTGCCGCCTCCTTGTGTGCTTCCCCTCTGTGGCAGCTTCCACCTCTCTCACTGCCAGCCTCAGCACCTCCCACACTACAACTCGCTGCCTGCCCCATGGAAGGTGGGGCAGAAAGATTAGGGAGGAGGTTGGTGGGGAGAGCGACTAGGGAGGAGGAAGGTGGGGCAGAGAGAAGGGACAGGTGGGGCAGAGTGAGGGGGCAGGTGCGGCAGATTGAGGGGACAGGTGGGGCAGAGTGGGGGGAAAGGTGGGGCAGAGTGAGGAGACAGGGGGGCAGAGTGAGGGGGCAGGTGGCAGTGAGGGGGGATGAGGAAGGAAAGATGGGCGCAGCATGGAGACAGGGATGTGGATGGATGGGTAACGAGGGATGTGACAAGGGCATGCACAGCTGCAAGGGGTAGAGAAATTAGTATATGCATTGTGACACTCGGTGCACCAAGACACTTGGTGAAACTGTTGGAGAACTAGATAAGTTATGAAACAACAACGTCAATCGAAATGTTTATAATAAGGAGTGTATGTGACCACAAACGCTCAGAAGCCCGAACATTTTGCATTTAAACCCTAGCTTTTGAACGCAAATGCCAAAAAAATGTGTGTGTGTTTTTTTTTTCATAGCAACATGAAAAAGAATAACTGACATATATTGACTTTGCGTGATTTTGCTGCGGAGATTCACTCTACAACGATAGTGAGCTAGACTACGGGGGTTGGCACGAACTACTAGGAGTGATCGTAGCTTTGCCTAGTTCCTTAGTGCTTGCACAATCACGGGAGAAATCGGCAAGAGTTTCCACTAGCAAAGTTGGAATTACAGAATTGTTCAAACAGGCAATGACAACAATAACTACATCAGGCACCTAGCAACTCTGTAGCTAGCCTGGTCGACTGACAGCACAGCATGGTCGACCGCCTGCCAGCGTTGCGTAGAGGAGCCATGCCAGCACTGCAGAAAGGCGACCTGCCAACACAGCAGGTCGACGGTGTGCCAACGCTGCAGCAGAGCGGCTGTCCAGCGTTGCCCCGTAGTAGATAGCAGTGCGCACGCGCACAGATGCGCGCAGACGATTGGCCCGACTTGCACCATTGTGCATCCGTCGGCTATTGTCTGCACTTGACGAGCCACATCGACTTCGGGATACCAACCCGAAGTCGCCTTCGCCATCGCGACCTCGACGATGTTTGCGTGCCTCCGCAGAACTCGCCGAGTAGGTTACCTGGTCGACCTGGACAACCCCAAGTGCTCTGGTCGACCACCAAGTCCTTCTGGTCGACCACCAGGTGCCCTTGGTCGACCACAGCTCCCGTCAAGCTACCCTTTGGTCGACGGACCCCTTCCGTCGATCACAGCTGTCAGCTGTTGTCGCCGAGCTCCCCTCGTCGACCGCTGCTCACCTATTAGGTCGACGGACTGCTCCGTCGACATCCCGGTCGAGCTGCTCCTCCTGGTCGACGGCACACCCGTCGCCCAGACCAGTCAGTTACAGCTGTCGAGTTCCCTTTTCGACAGCAACACCACAGCGGTCCCCTGCAGCTCGACGAAGCCTGTCGAGCAGCTCTTCCACTGTGAAAGGTCGGCTGCTACTTCCATACATCCGACCAAGTCGTCGGTGTTGCCCATTCCTGTTAACACTCCCCTGCCGCGCTCACGCTTGGGCCTCCAGCCCACACGGCAGTACTCCACAGAGAAAACTCGTCCTCGGAGTGCATCCCGCACACAGCACGCCGTCACCGCACCAGCCGTGCAGAAGGGCACGGCACCTACTGCTGCACATCATCGTCGCCGTTGCCGATGTCGGCCAGACGAACTTGGACGATGGCGACAGAGCACCGGCTGAAAGCCGGGGAATGCAGCGCCTTCGTCAGGAAGTCTGCCGGCTGTTCGGTGGTCGGGATGTACTTGAGTACGAACTTCCCGCGCCTCACCATGTGCTGCAGCCAGGCATAGCGTCGCTCCATGTGCTTGAGGTTGCCTGCCAGCCCCAAGCCCTCAGCGACCGTAATTGCCGACTTGTTGTCGACGCGGAGGATGGTCGGCTTCCCAGCGTCGAGTAGCTTGAATTCCGCAAGAAGGAAACGAAGTCGGCGTCCCTCCTTGCCTACATCCGTGGCCGCCACGTACTCCGACTCTGTTGATGACAATGTTGCGCACTTGATGCGCGAGCTCGACCAGGAGACGGCGGCCCCTCCGTAGACGAACACGTAGCCTCCTGTGCTCATCCGGTTCTGCTTGTCGCCCGCGTCATCGGCGTCCACGTAGCCGACCAGCTCCAGCGACTCTAGATCACCGCCAAATGCCAGGGCGGTGTCGCGGGTGTCGGCGAGGTAGGCGAGGCATCGGTCGACCTCGCGCCAATGCTGGTCGCTCCTCACCATGAGGCCGCTCCCCAGCTTGCTGCAGGCGAACGCAATGTTCGGCCTCGTCGTCGTCGCCGCGAACTGCAGCGAGCCAACCTTCTGCCGGTACTCCTCCTCCTCACGCTCCTGGGCCTCCTCGTCGTCGAATGTCAGCCCGGCGTAGGCATCGACCGAGACCGGCGTCTTCGGGACTCGACCGCCCTGCTCCTCGTCGATGAAGCGCCTACGCAGCTTATCGGCATAGCCCTGCTGGTGAAGCCACAGCTTCCTCGCTGGCCTGTCGCGCACGATCTCTAGCCCGAGGTACTTGACGACCGGCGAGATCTCGTGCAGCTCGAAGGCAGCCTCTAACAGCCCCTTTAGCTCCTTCAGCATCGCGGGGCTGCTGCTGGCGGCGAGCAGATCATCAACGTAGACCAGCACTCAGCAGGTCACTCCGTCGTCGCTGGCCTTGAAGTAGAGCGCCTCGTCGACCTGGCTCTTTTTCCAGCCTGCACCCAGCAGCACACCATCGAGTGCCTGGTACCACAGCAACGGCAACTGCTTCAGCCCGTAGAGGCTCTTCAACAGCTTACACACCCGGCCGGTCCCATCGTTGAAGTAGTTCGGCTGATACATGTAGAGTACCCTGTCGAGCTTGCTCTACAGGAAAGCGTTCTTCATGTCGAGCTGCATCAGGTTGAGGTCGAGGACGGCGACGATGCTGAGGAAGATCCTCAGTGTGACGTAACTGCTCACCGGGGAGTACGTCTCATCATAGTCGGCACCACACACCTGCGTGAAGCCCTTCACGACCAGCCTCGCCTTCTCACGCTCGACAGTATCGTCGATGCGGTACTTGGTCGTCAGCACCCACCGGTTCTTCATGATGTTCACCCTGCGTGGGCGTTCGACCAGTTCCCATGTGCCCATGCCGGTGAGGCTGCGGATCTCTTCTTCCATGACGGCCCTCACTGCCTCACTCTTCCAACTTGCTAGCGCCTCCTTCACTGTCATCGTGGCGATGTCCCAGCGGTGTTCGGGGTCGGCATGCACGTCAGGGTCGAGCTCTGGCAGTTCTTCATCCTCCTTGGCGTCGTCGTACAACAGGTCGTCGTCGACCTCGTCGTACACAGTGGTGAAGGCAGCTGGCGGTAGGCAGGTGTGGATGCTCAGCCGCTCCGGCGGCCGTCGAGTACGGCCTGTGCGTCGCAGCTTAGGCTTCGTGATCGGCACCTCCACCACGTCGCTGTTTGTGGACTCTTCTCCTGCCGACAGCTCCCCTTCTTCGTCGACGGCCAAGTCTTCTGCTGACTTCGACAGCTCCCCTGTCGACTACACCCCTGATGATGCCTCTTGTTCGACTGGCTCCCTTGTCTGCTGCTCCCCTGTCGTCGACGGCTTCCCATCCTGGTCGACAAGCTTGGCGTTTTGTCGACCGCCGGCGATGCCACTGGCCGGCGCCATAGGCGACGCCTCAAGGCTCCCCTCATCGCCAGTGGCCGACACAGGTGTCGACTCAGGCCAATCTGCAACGGGGAAGGGAGGAGCAAGAACAGGGGGAGGTGGAAGCACCTCCACAACATCCTCATCAGCAGGCTCATCGACTTCGGCGAGCAAGGGAACCGTCGCCGTCGTGGTGTCCGTCGGCGGGTGTGCCTGCGTTCGCCCCGACGCAGGCCCAAACTTCGCCTTCCACACTTCCAGCGACAACGTCTCGTAGAAGATGACCTCGACCGACGTGACCACCTTGTCGTCGGTCAGGTCGAGCACCTCCCATCCCTTACTCTCCGGCGACACGCCCAGGTGAAGCCCCCAGCGAGCTTTCGGCGCCAGCTTCCCACTGCGCTGCTGCTCAGGGACCATGAACTGCACCATGCAGCCCCACACCCGCGCCAGGGTGAGGTCGGGCTTCTTCCCGGTCAGCAGCTGGTACGGAGTCGTCCCCGGCGGCGTTGTCGACCGCTCCAAGCAGTTGCGCACCCAGACAGCTTGTCGTAGGGCGAGGTGCCACCAGTGATGCTGCACGCCCATGTGCAGCAGCATCGTCCTCACGAACTCGACGGCTGTGCGCATCTCCCGCTCAGCCATGCCGTTCTGCTGCGGAGTGTAAGGGCATGTCAGGTCGTGGACGATGCCCTTGCCGTCGACGAAGTCGGTGAACTCCTTCCCGAGAAACTCCCCTCCCCGGTCTGAGCGGAGCATTAGCACCAGCTTCTTCGCCTGCTGTTCCACCAGCACCAGCCACTTCTGGAACTCCCGCAGCACGTCGCTCTTCTTAGCGACCGGCATCACCCACACAAATCAAGTGTGGCGATCCTTCAGCAGCAGGAAGTACAAGCTGCCATCCTTGGCAGCAACCCGAAATGGCCCGTACAAGTCAATGTGGACGACAGCCAGCGCCTCCTCGGCGTTTGAGCCTTTGTCGGGGAAGGTGTGCCGCGCCAGCTTTCCTCCGACGCACAAGACACACGGCGGGTCTGTTCCGGTCGACGAAGTGATGTCGAGCCCAGTAGCCACTTCATGCTTTGCCGAGCTCTTGATCATGTCGACGCTGACGTGCGCGAGCCTCGCATGCAACCGGTCAAGGGTGGACTTCGTCGCTGAGACGATCGTTCGCAGAGCCACGACCTCGATCGACTGCGACAGCGTTGAGAAAGGGCGAAGGTCAGTGCAGAGGACTCGTCCGGTGTAGCGTGCTCGACCGAGCATCCCCCCGGTCGCGGCGATGGGCAGCATCTCGTTGCCGTCGCCCTTCAGCTGCACTCCGCTCTCCTTCAGCTGACCAGCAGATAGCAGGTTCACGTGTACGCCTGGAACGTAGAGTACGTCGGGGATGAGGACCCGCTTCCCAGCTTCCCCTTGCAGAGCGACGGTTCCGCGGCCCTCAACAGGCTGTAGTGCCCCGTTGAATCCACAAACATGCTTCACGCCATCACTCGGCGCCATGTCGACGAAGACCGCCTTCGTCCCCATCAGGTGGTGGGAGCAGCCGCTGTCGAGCAGCACCGCCATCGGGTTGGCTTGCACAGCTGCCGCCACCGCCTGGAAGTCCTCGCCAGCC